GTGGTCTGGTATTCCCATCTCTTTCAGAATTTTCCACAGTTTATTGTGATCCACAATGTCAAAGGCTTAGGCATAGTCAATAAAGTAGAAATACATGTTTTTCTGGAACTCTCTTGCTTTTTCAATGATCCAGTGGATGTTGGCAATTTGATCCCTAGTTCTTCTGCCTTTTCTAAAACCAGCTTGAACATCTGGAAGTTGACAGTTCACATATTGCTGAATCCTGGCTTGGAGAATTTTGAGCATTACTTTGCTAGCGTGTGAAATGAGTGCAACTGTGTGGTAGTTTGAGCATTCTTTGGCATTGCCTTTCTTAGGGATTGGAATGAAAACTGACCTTTTCCAGTCCCATGGCCACTGCTGAGTTTTCCAAATTTGCTGGCATATTGAGTGCAGCACTTTCACAGCATCATCTTTCAGGATTTGAAATAGCTCAACTGGAATTCCATTACCTCCACTAGCTTTGTTCATAGTGATGCTTCCTAAGGCCCACTTGACTTCACATTCCAGGATATCTGGCTCTAGGTGAGTGATCACACCATCGTGATTATCTGGGTCATGAAGATCTTTTTTGTACAGTTCTTCTGTGTATTCTTGCCACCTCTTCTTAATATCTTCTGCTTCTGTCAGGTCCATACCATTTCTGTCTTTTATTGATCCCATCTTTCATGAAATGATCCCTTGGTATCTCTAATTTTCTTGAAGAGATCTCTAGTCTTTCCCATTCTGTTGTTTTCCTCTATTTCTTTGCATTGATCGCTGAGGAAGGCTTTCTTATCTCTCCTTGCTATTCTTTGGAACTCTGCATTCAAATGGGAATATCTTTCCTTTTCTCCTTTGCTTTTTGCTTCCCTTCTTTTCTCAGCTATTTGTAAGTCTTCCTCAGACAACCATTTTGCCTTTTAGCATTTCTTTTTCTTGGGGATGGTCTTGATCCCTGTCTCCTGTACAATGTCATGAACCTCTGTCCATAGTTCATCAGGCACTCTGTCTATCAGATCTAGTCCCTTAAATCTATTTGTCATTTCCACTGTATAATAGCAAGGGATTTGATTTAGGTCATACCTGAATGGTATAGTGGTTATCCCTACTTTCTTCAATTTAAGTCTGAATTTGGCAATAAGGAGTTCATGATCTGAGCCACAGTCAGCTCCCAGTCTTGTTTTTGCTGACTGTATAGAGCTTCTCCATCTTTGGCTGCAAAGAATATAATCAATCTGATTTCAGTGTTGACCATCTGGTGATGTCCATGTGTAGAGTCTTCTCTTGTGTTGTTGGAAGAGGGTATTTGCTATGACAGTGTGTTCTCTTGGCAGAACTCTATTAGCCTTTGCCCTGCTTCATTCTGTTCTCCAAGGCCAAATTTGCCGTTATTCCAGGTGTTTCCTGACTTCCTACTTTTGCATTCCCTCCCCTATAATGAAAAGGACATCTTTTTTGGGTGTTAGTTCTAAAAGGTCTTGTAGGTCTTCACAGAACCGTTCAACTTCGGCTTTTTCAGCATTACTGGTTGGAGCATTGGCTTGGATTACCGTGATATTGAATGATTTGCCTTGGAAACGGACACAGATCATTCTGTCGTTTTTGAGATTGCATCCAAGTACTACGTTTCAGACTCTTTTGTTGACCATGATGACTACTCCATTTCTTCTAAAGGATTCCTGCCCACAGTAGCAGACATAATTTAACTCAGGTCATCTGAGTTAAATTCACCCATTCCAGTCCATTTTAGTTCGTTGATTCTTAGAATGTTGATGTTCACTCTTGCCATCTCCCGTTTGACCACTTCCAATTTGCCTTGATTCATGGACCTAACATTCCAGGTTCCTATGCAATATTGCTCTTTACAGCATCAGACCTTACTTCTATCACCAGTCACATCCACAACTGGATGTTGTTTTTGCTTTGGTACCATCCCTTCATTCTTACTGGAGTTATTTCTCCACTGATCTCCAGTATCATATTGAGCACCTACCAAACTGGGGAGTTCATCTTTCAGTGTTCTATCTTTTTGCCTTTTCATACTGTTCATGGGGTTCTCGAGGCAAGAATACAGAAATGGTTTCCCATTCTCTTCTCCCAGATGCTCCAGCCAGTCAAACATTTGATTCATCCTTGATTACTTTCATTCCCATCCATCAGCAAACAATGTCAAATTACCTTGGGAACACATCATCTGTCAGACTTCACCCACCATCACCTCAGCACAGTTACCACTCTCCCTAGACTGGTGCCATCCAACTGAAAGATAATGCAAGCCACAGGCATGCTTCTCAATTTTCTAGCAGTCAGATTTTTAAAAAGTAAACAAGAAGCAAGTGATCACCAATGTAGAAAAACAATCTTATGGTTTTGGAGTGGGGAGAAAGGGGAGAGGGATAAATTGGGAGATTGGGATTGACATACAGGTACTACTATATATAAAATAAACAACAAGGACCTTCCATCTCTGGCTCAGACGGTAAAGTGTCTGCCTGCAATGTGGGAGACCCAGGTTCTATCACTGGGTGGGGAAGATCCCCTGGAGAAGGAAATGGCAACCCACCCCTGTACCCTTGCCTAGAAAATCCCACGACGTAGGAGCCTGGCATGCCACAGTTGACGGGGTTGCTAGTATCTGAGCCACCAGGGAAGCCTCTTAAATAAAATACATAATTGCAATTGGTTTCACTTGCTTTTTTATTGTGTTACTATGTATTACCAAAATACATATCACAAAGTTTCCTATTTTGTATTTTTATTTTTTATCTTTAAATTTTTACTGGAGTATAGTTGATTTGCAATGTTGTATTAGTCTGCTGGACAGCAAAGTGAAACAGTTATGTAATACATATACATATATCCACTCATTTTTAGATTCTTCTCCCATATAAATCCTTACAGAGTAGTGGGTAGAGTTCCCTGTGCCATCGAGTAGGTCCTTGTTGCTTATTTTATATATAGTAGTACCTGTATGTCAACCCCAATCTCCCAATTTATCCCTCTCCCCTTTCTCCCTACTCCAAAACCATAAGATTGTTTTTCTACATTGGTGATCATTTGCTTCTTGTTTACTTTTTAAAAATCTGACTGCTAGAAAATTGAGAAGCATGCCTGTGGCTTGCTTTATCTTTCAATTGGACAGCACTAGTCTAGAGAGAGTGGGTGAAGATGCTGAGGTGATGGTGGGTGAAGGTCTGACAGGTGATGTGTTCCCAAGGTAATTTGACATTGTTTGCTGATGGATGTGAAAGAAAGGAATCAAGGATGAATCCAGTGTTTGACCTGGAGCATCTGGGTGACAGCTGGTGCCTTTTACCCAATGAGGGACTGTGGGAACAGGCGCAGGTTTGATTAGACGGTTGTCAGGTCCTGGAGGGTGTAAGTCCAGGCTGGAGTGAGTGCAAAGAAAGGCTGGGAGGTGAGGAGGAGGGTGCAGTGATGAGAGGGTACCCTTGAGCTCTCAGCAGAGAAGTCCGAGGGAGCCGTGGGTGCAGGGAGGCTGAGAGACTGGGATCTGGTGCCCCGTGGGGAGGCTGCTTAGATGCCTGGCCCTACTGCTGGCAGCAGGGTGGGTGAGGGTCACTGCGTGTGGCAGGTATGCAGGGAGCTGGTGGGGTGCAGGCGTCTGCAAGTTCCCTCCAGACGGATTTCACGTTGTCTGTGAAATGGGAAACGGGCCATCTGCTGAGAGCTCACCTGGGAGACCGCATTGAACGCGTGAGCAGCAGTCACCTCGGAGAGCGGGAGCGAGGTGGTCTGAGGTTTCAGCTCCCGATCACTGTCACGCTCTCCAGAACTAGTCACCCCACAAAGCGCAGAGCTTCCAGCACCCTCCGAGACCCTGGCCGCTGGGGTCCTTGCTCTCCTCTCTCCAGCGCTCTTTTCCTCCACTTTCCCCGTGACCCCCCAGACCCTAGAGACTCCGGACCACTGTGTAAATGAGGACTGCACTGCCACAGTTTCCATGTCAAGCCCCTCACTTTCCAGCCGCCACCTTCCAGCTTCAGCTTATTAACTCCTGTGGCGCCAGCCCAGCCGCCCCGAGCCTGGCAACACAGGCCTCTCGCTGGCCTCACCCCACTCCTGTGTCAGGCCCCCCTTTCGTTTATTTTCTCTTCTTTTCTGTCATTATGCAATACAAGCTGCAATTTCTCCCATATTGATAAACGCCACTTTTTTCCTCCTCCTTCTACTGTGACAATTTCTCTCTTTCCCTGTGTAGGGAAAAAAAAAAAAACACACTCAAAAGAATTGCCTGTGTTCCCTGTGACCAAGTCATTTAGTCCCATTTTTCTCTGGAAACTTCTCTCTTCAGCCTTCCGTCACCACCCACTCTAATTCCACACTGCAACCTCTGATCTACTCTTCACTCTACCAGGGGTTTCATCTTATTTCATCCTTCTCTTTCCTTGACTTCCAAGACACGCAGGTTTTCTGACTCTCCTCTCTCACTGGCTGCTCCTTCTGAACGTGGAAGACTCCAGACCTTGAACTTCCCTTTTTAACTTCTGCTCGCTCCCTCAGTGACAGGAATCAGCCTCGTGGCGTTAAATGCTTCTGACTCTCAGACTGTGTCTTTGACCCAGGTCTGTGTCCCAAAAGCCAAGCTTCTGCCCAACGTCCCACTCCACATCCCAGCTGCAGTGTCTAATGTCATCTCAAACCTGGCACGCGCCAGTCTTCTGGGACGTCCAGGCTTCCTCAGCCAGGGTTGGCGGCAGCTCCGTCTCCCCAGTTGTTCAAGCCAGAAGCCCGAGCAACCTGGGAGTCGTCTTTGAGTGCTCACAGCCTCAAGCCTCGCATCCTGCGGGAGACGTGCCCGTCTCTCCCGCCGCGGTCCACCCCGGGGCTTCCCTGACTGCTCCAGACCACATGCTCTTTCGTAGCTCGTGCCCTGCTGGTCTGTGATAAACCCTGAGTGTGTGGGGGACAACAGGGGCGTAAGGGGACGTGGAGGAGCTTTCTGAACAAAAGGAAATGAAAGTGGGAAAGAGGAACGCAACCTCTGTGGAGGACTGCTAGGTGCTCCGCACGGCTGCAGCCCAGGAGGAGGCTGGAGAAACGCCCAGGGGCCAGATGCCCGGAGGCTTTCCCCGATAACAAGGCAGCGTGAGCTGCAGCTTGCTGGCAGTGAGGGTCCTTGAAAAGTCATCAGTAGGGGAGACGGAAGCTGATGCATGTTGGAAAGACTGCTCTGAAGGAACGATGGGAGATAAGGATCCCAGGACACACCCGTAGAAGACGGGAGTAGGCTCAAAGGTGAACCCTTGCCCGAGCAGGAAGACCGGGACTGGAAGAAGACAGGCCCTGTGGAGCAGAGACAGGGAAGACCAAGCCAAGGAATCAGGAAAGCGCAGCATCTCTTTGATCTGGGGCAGCACGGACCCTGGGGAAGGGGCGTCAAGGGCAATTTGGTTCCTGCTATGGGGGTGTTTGGACGGTGGACAGGGCAGGGGCAGAAAGCTCAGAGGAGGAACGTTGAGTTTCTGCCGGGCAGACTGTTCCGGGTCCAGGAAGTCTTGGGTGAAGACTCTTGGGTCAGGGCAGACTTGGGCTGAGACGGGAACTGAGGAGTCATTTGGACACACACCCTTGTGCTCTGGCCGGGGTCCTGGAACTGCTCAGCAGTGGTTCCTGAGGGAGAAGAAGAAACATCACTCCCAGGGTGACCTGTGGACAGAAGGAGCCCCCGGGGGTCAGAAGGGCTGGAGGGCAGATGAGAACAAAGGGAGGTGTCCCGGAAATTAGGGAAGGGCTCTCCATAAGGGGAGTGGTCATCGAGCAAGGCCAGAGTTGTCTCCATCAGCCCAGCTGCGTAACAAACACCACCGACTTGGGACTTTGATAGCAGACAGCCGGTTCCCACAGTGCTGGAGGCTGGGAAGGCCAAGATCAAGGTGCTGGCAGACTCAGCTCCCAGGGACAGACCTCTTACTCTCCTGTAAGTAAGACCTCTTACTTACAGACCTTCTTGATCCATCCTCACACGGCAGAGGTGGAGACAGAAACACAGAGGAAGTACAGGTGAGATCTGGTCTCTCTTTGGCTTTTTTTTCCTATAAAAATTTGGTTTTTTTTTGCTGCACTGGGTCTTGGTTGCGGCACACGATGTCGCGGGCTGTGTGGTGGTTGGAAAAGAATTTCCAGACACAGTATTTCAGAAATGAGAGAATTTATTGAGAACAAAGAGCAGAGATAGTGTGGGTGCTGCATGCACAGTGGCCAGCCTCCTGGAGACCAGGAAGAGTTGATGACCCGGGAGAACAGCAGGCGACTCGAGGGCCTTGTTCCAAGACCATGAATGTGAAACCTGGCACCTGTGACCCCATATGGGACTTCACACGTGGAGTCTAGTTTCCTGACGGCTAGACCGCTGGGGAAGGCCTCTATCCTGACCGCTAGACCACTGAGGAGGGCCTCTATCCTGACCGCTAGACCGCTGGGGAGGGCCTCTATCCTGACCGCTAGACTGCTGGGGAGGGCCTCTATCCTGACCGCTAGACCACTTGGGAAGGCCTCTATCCCTGCCTGCTCTGCTCTTTTGTTTGTTGATGTTTTTATGCCCTGACTTACTTTTGGCTGCTCTGGCTCTTTGTTGCTGCATTGCCCTGGTGGCCACGAGTGGGGACTGTTCTCTAGTTGTTGGGTGTGGCCTCCTCACTATGGCGGCCTCTCTTCTTGCAGAGCACGGGCTTCAGTGGTTGTGGCTCTCAGGCTTAGTCACTCTGTGGCATGTGGAATCTTCCCAGATCAGGGGTCAAACCTGTGCCCCCTGCAGTGGCAGGCAGATTCTTAACCACTGGACCACCAGGGAAGTCCTCTCTTCTGCTTCCACTAATCCCATCATCGAAACCCGATTACCTCCCAAAGGTCTTACCTCTCTGAACACTGTCCCGCTGGAGGTTCCAATTCAAACATATGAATTTGGGGGAGACAACATTCAGTCCCTCAGAAGAATTAAAGGGGTTTTCAGAAGTCGGCAAGCATCAGTGGCCTTGGTTGGAACAAACTTTGGTGAAATTGTGAGTGTGGAAATCTGATGGTAGATCAAGGGAAACGTTGGAAAGCCCAAGACCACAATCTCAGTCCAGCACTCCAGAATCTGCTGTGAGAGAAGGAAAAAGATGGGCATGCTTCTCTCCAGATGGACAGGTCTGAGCTGCTCACAGGCATCTAGAAGGTGTCAGTAAAGAATAATATGGCCACTTAAAAGTTCTGGAGAGGAAGGAGACTAGTGGAGACAGGTCCTTCGGGTAGCAGGAGAGGATGCACCCAGAGGAAGAAGAGCTGGACAAAAAGCAAGTTTGCCTCTGCTGGAGTTAGAGGGAGGGAGGGAGGCTGGGCCAGAGACGGTAAACCCATAGGTATCAGCAGGGCCAGCTCTGGGTGTGTGACTGTGCACTAGCCATGCTCAGCCTCACCAGGAGTCCAGGCTTGCCCACTTCCACATTCTTGATAATGTTCTGTTTGAACTTTTTTGTTTGTTTGTTTTATCTCGTATGTGGAGTCCAACAGAACCAAGAAGCATGCCCGTGAACAGGGAACATATACCTGACGACCATGTGCTCACACTCAATTTCAAGTCCACAGACACGAGAGGTGACAGGGAGCCCACGGATACGCATGAAAATATATCAGGGAGCTATTAGAATATTTCAAAGGGTTCAGAATCTCTGGGTTTGAAAACCACTGCGATCCTGCCAAGGAAATGTCTGTTAAATTTCCATGGTTTATATTTACATTTAAAATTAAATTCAGACAACACAGAACTGATTTGTAAGAAGAGTTAAACCTTTTTAGAAAAATTGTTCCACAAAAACCACCAGCGCTAGATGTACTAAAATTTATATTTCAAAATAATTTGTCAGAAATGTATCTCAATGTTGTCATAGCCAATAAAATACTCTTAAGAGCTAATAGTTGCATCAGCAGAAAGATTCTTCTCAAAACGAAAAAATATCAAAAACTATTTGCAATTTTGCATTTGAAAAGAGCAACGGATGTTACTTTCAATTAGTATAATTGAAAATGAAGTTGTTGAAAGTAAATATTGTGCCAGCCTAATTAAAGAACTTATAGATAAGTGAGCCAAAATAATCTTGTGATTAGAATGTCACATTAGGAAAACACTGTAATATTGTATTATATACAATTATGATACCAAAGATAATATTTTTTGCAGTTTGTGAGTCTATGTTCTTTCTCTTCTATTCTATTCTATTTGTGCTTGCTCAGTTGCTCACTTGTGTTCCACTCTTTGCAACCCCACGGCTGTAGCCCGGCAGACCCCTCTGTCCATGGGATTTCCCAGGCAAGAATACTGGAGTAGTTTGCCATTTCCAACTCCAGGGGATCGTCTCTACCAGGGTATATGTTGTTAATATACAATATTTTTATTTTAATATACAATTGTTAATATAAAATTAATATAATCTTTTTGAAGGAAAAGCTTTATGTTTTAGTCCCTGTAGCTGCATTTCTTTTCTTAATTCTAAAATTAGGGTCCCTGCATTTTCATTTTGTATTGAACCCTGCAAAACATGTGATCCTGAACCTGGCTATAAGGATGGGATGATGAGGGTATCCAGGCCTCATACACTCAGTTTCTCTTTTTCTTCCTGAAAAGTTGGAGGCAAGGAAAATGCGGGTGTTAGGGGGTGGAAGCAAGGTGGAGTCTGAGTGTGTGCCCCTGGGGGAGTGTTAAAGGTTTAAATTGACATGTGCGGAATCAGTAAGGGAACGGAGCACTTTGTCCAAGGACTTGAAACTACTTTCAGTGTGATGACTTCTGTAAGCTTTCTTTCACTTTTTATTACTAAGCTATAATATATTGTTTATTTTATGACCAGCCATAAAGAAAATTACATTGAGGGATTATCTATTTCTGTCAAAATATTTGCCAGGCTAATACCATGCTGTGAAAGTGGAATACAATTAGCTTGACTGGATATGAAATCAGTGGTGTGCTGAAGTCTCGGCTGGTGGATGAAAGAGAATCTTTGTGAAAGAGTGGTGTAAACTGTAATGCCTTCCAGTTGCGACAGTCATTACATTTAATTTTAGTAAACAATCTATGAAATGTGAATTGTAAAATGTGTTTTTGTATATAAAAGTAGAATATTCCAAAACATAAAATTGGCATATGCTCTTTGTTGAAAATTAAAAAATATTGTCACATAAATAAACAGATTACCCAAGTCCTTCTTTCAAAGTCAACTACTGTTATTATTTTGAAATTTTTTACAGATATTTTGTTGCAAATGAATTAGAATGTAATTCTGATCCTGCAGTTACATATTATATAAATTCTTCATAAAAATATTTTAATGTTTATATGATGGCCCACTGTGTTGCTCTGTCATACAAATGTATCCATTTACCCAATGTTGGGCATTTAGGTTGAAATCAGATTGATTATATTCTTTGCAGCCAAAGATGGAGAAGCTCTATACAGTCAGCAAAAACAAGAGTGGGAGCTGACTGTGGCTCAAATCATGAACTCCTTATTGTCAAATATATACTGAAATTGAAGAAAGTAGGAAAAATCACTAGACCATTAAGGTATGACCTAAATCAAATCCCATATGATTATACAGTGGAAGTGACAAATAGATTCAAGGGATTAGATCTGATAGAGTGCCTGAAGAACTATGCATGGAGGATTGCGACATATGTACAAGAGGCAGTGATCAAGACCATCCCCAAGAAAACAAATGCAAAAAGGCAAAATAGTTCTCTGTGGAGGCCATACAAATAGCTGAGAAAAGAAGAGAAGGGAAAGGCAAAGGAGAAAAGAAAAGATATACCCATTTGAATGCAGAGTTTGAAAGAATAGCAAGGAGAGATGTGAAAGCCTTCCCCAGTGATCAGTGCAAAGAAAAAGGAGGAAAACAACAGAATGGGAAAGACTAGAAATCTCTTCAAGAAAATTAGAGATACCAAGGGATCATTTCATGCAAAGATGGCCTCAATAAAGTCAGAAATGGTAGGGACCTAACAGAAGCAGAAGATATTAAGAAGAGGTGGCAAGAATACACAGAAGAACTATACAAAAAAGATCTTCATGACCCAGACAATCACGATGGTGTGATCACTCACCTAGAGCCAGACATTCTGGAATGTGAAGTCAAGTGGGCCTTAGGAAGCATCACTATGAACAAAGCTAGTGGAGGTGATGGAATTCCAGTTGAGCTATTTCAGATCCTGAAAGATGATGCTGTGCAAGTGTTGTACTCAATATGCCAGCAAATTTGAAAAACTCATCAGTGACCACAGGACTGGAAAAGGTCAGTTTTCATTCCAATCCTAAGGAAGGGCAATGCCAAAGAATGTCCAAACTACTGCACAATTGCACTTATCTAACACTCTAGCAAAGTAATGCTCAAACTTCTCCAAGTGAGGCTTCAACAGTAGGTGAACTGAGAACTTCCAAGTGTTCACGCTGGATTTAGAAAAGGAAGAGAAATCAGATATCAAATTGTGAACATCCGCTGGATTATGGAGAAAGCAAGAGAGTTCTAGAAAAACATCTACTTCTTCTTTATTGACTACTCCAAAGCCTTTGAC